AACCAAGCTATTAGTCTATGGGAAAAAATTTCATACAATCTTTAATTTGTTTTTGTCACAGTATCGGTGATTTTATCTGGTTTATAATTCTATTAAAACAATTTATGTTTAAACGGTTTATGTTTAAATGACCTACTTACTACTACTTTGTAGAAAAAATGTAGTACTAAGTATACAATTATCTGAAATACATTAATACACTCAGATTCTTTCAGCCGATGTTTACTAATATCTCACTAAAAAAAAAGAATAAATCATAATCTATTGACGTTTGTGAGCATTATTTGCATAGCACGCTAAAATTTTTAACCTCATGAGAATTTTTCGATTTTCTATTTCATTTTTTTCCTCGCATTATACATAGACGTACGTGTCGGTTTTTTTTTTGGAAACTATTATAAATAATTAATGTTTGGTAGAATATATGGCTGAATATTTTTATAGAATGTATATAAACAGTTTTAAATTTTTTTCATTAAATAGGCATAGAAAAAATATTTTATGTTTTGTTGTTCAAAAAATAGAGATAATACATACACGTTTCTGTTTTCAGAAAGCTTTGCTATTCCAATCAAATTTCCTCACCGCTCAAAAGGTGTTAATTTTAACACTTTTTAGTAATAATAACAAAAACAAGTTTTTCCAAATGCAACAGATAATGAAAAAAGAAAAGGATAATTTGAAATTCGCTAACAGCAATGTTACTTGTATAGAAATTTCCTTCAATAATAAAAATGCATGTTATTTAACAAATCACAAAATTATATAAAAACAAACTAAACACAAAACGATTCCTTAGTTAAAATAATAATAAAGTTAATCGCATCTGAAACTTGAAGCACGAAATGAATGATAAAACTGACAGTTCCTTAGTAAATGGGAAATATCGGATAACATTGTTTAGCCCTTAAACCGTCTTTTCTTGGATAGACTATAATTTAGGATCAGTTGCTCTGTCCATTTATCTCGCGATCCAGATCCGATGTTCATTAATTAACCTTCTTTAAGTACCTTTCCAAAACCAAGTTTGAGGTACTAATAACTAATACAAACAATGCAAAGTCACTAGTTATACCATTTTCCTACAGATTTAAATACACAAAATCAAAATCCCACATTTTTCACATTTTTCATGTCACTTGAGGACATATGACAGCACGTGATGTGGCAATAATGTGTTTCTTTCTTCATTTTCTTCCACGTGGTTGACACAAATTTATTCATATAAGACGAAAACAAATCTAAATTAATGAGTTTCCAGCAATACACTGTTCCACTTGCGTTAAAACCGTATTAATTTTCATAACGTTAATGAACCATAATCTGATTAAATTGTCGGATTTGTCTGTATCAAGGACCAGAAATGCGCCTTCATTTCATATCATTGTCCCTCGATTGTGTTTTTCAGGCAAAATTGAAATATATTTCAGAATATTGGATACTGGCAAAAAATCCAATACAAAAACCTTATCTAAAAGCTCATCGATATTGGTTTAATAGTTGATAATATTGACAATATGAATCCTCAATCAATACCTGTATACCGGGTGTCCCGTTCATGTTTCAAAAAAACTTGTGCGCAAGTTCCTCATAGAAAAATAATGGGGGTAGTTCATGTAACATTTTTTTCTTAGACGCCGTGTTTTCGATATACAGTGTGTTGAAGTTGTTACTTTCTAAATGATTTTCCTGAATTATCTTTAAATCGGCATAAAAATGTCAAAATTTGTACATGAGTAAACATCAACTGTGCGTTAAGAATAATTTGCAAATCTGAAAAGCAGTGTCGTCGATACAGGTAATTGAAGGGGCTTAATCAAAGAAGAAATATGTTAAAAGTCAAAATTTATTACATTTCTAACGGGTTCTGTAAACTCTAAAGGATACTACAAAAAAAAGGTATGCTTGTCGAAATTCGGTAGCATGTACCATTTTCGAGAAAAATGAAGTTGATTTTTTTTTGCTCACATAAAGCTACACAACTACATTAACAAAATATTATATTGAAAGTGGACCTTACCATTGAGTGAGTTAAAGACATTTAGCTACCAACAGTATTTGCATTTAAGACTATAATTTTAATTTCTTACGTATCACATGAAGCAGTTAAATTGTAAAACATTTTATTAACTAAAAAAAAATTAAAATTTATTTTAAGTTTCAGTTTGTGCAGAACACATTGCAGAAAAATATTAGGAAACAGACTCGGAGACATACAGAACAATTGCTGCGCAATTAAATAAATTTGCTAATTCGAAATACTGCAGTAGATACTGAAATTGTCCTTTTTTGAATGTACCTTTTTTTGTAGTATGCTTTAGAGTTTACAGAACAAATAAATTGTTATTTATCATATTAATAAATTGACACTTTCTGTCAACCAATAATTAGTACCAATTGATTAATTTATTATCAGAATAATTATGGCAAATAATATTTATACCAATGACGAATATGTCGACAAGCTCCAAGTGTTTTTCGAAACCAGAAAAAATAGTAACGCTGCAGTAATATTGTACCACCAAAGATATCCAAACCGACCGATTCCTCATATACAAACATTGGCCTCGATGGAAAGAAGGCTTCGCGAAACTGGTAAAATTCGGCCCAATCGTGAGGGTGCCGGAAGAAGGCGTAATGTCAAAACTGTTGAAACTGTGGAAACTATACTGGAACATCTAGAACAAGACTGTGGTACAAGCACAAGATAGGTGTCCAAGCAACTGTAAGTTTCTCACAGTCTTGTATGGAATGTAGCTCATGAAAATCTTTTATATCCTTTTCACCATCAACCCGTGCAAGAATTGAATGACCCTGATTTACCTAACCGCATAGATTTTTGTCAATGGTACATTAATATTTCCAGGCATGACTTACATGTCCTAATGAATATACTTTTCACCGATGAAGCAAATTTTCCTAGAGTAGGTGCAGTAAACCTTCATAATGTTCATTTATGGTCGGAAGAACGTACTCATGAAATATTTGTTTCAAGATGTCAACATAATTTCAGTTTAAACGTTTGGATGGGAATTGTAGGAAATACTCTAATAGGTCCTTTTATTCTTCCACACAGGCTTGTAGCGGCCGAGTATCTTAGATTTTTGAACGAAAATCTTCCAACATTACTTGAGGACGTACCCCTCGCTAAACGTCAGGTGATGTGGTATATGCACGATGGGGCGCCTGCACATAGTACACTTGCCGTTAGAGAATGATTAAATTTAAATTACCCGAATCGCTGGATTGGTTGCGGTGGTGATGCCCCTGTTTGTTGGCCTGCACGTTCACCTGACCTAACGCCTATGGATTTCTTTTTGTGGGGACACATAAAAAGTATTGTATATGCCACTACTGTTGTTTCCTTAGAAGAACTACGCTTAAGAATATTTCAGGTAGCAGATGACCTTCGCAATAACCAAGAACTGTTTATGCGAGTACTTGATAACTTCAACAAACGTATTAGGTTATGCTTGCAACAAAATGGAAATTATTTGGAGAATAGTCTTTAAATTTAATTTTGCATTTCTTGTTTTACGTTTGTATTAAATTTTATTTCACATAAATAAATTTACCTCATACATGTCCCAGTCATAAGTTATCAAACATTTTTCATTAATTAATAGCAAATTCTTAATGTTATTATTAAATTATCAGCTTATTGACAGAAAGTGTCAATTTATTAATATGATAAATAAAAATTTATTTTTTATGACATCTGCTTACTTTATTTTTACAAATTTTCGCAATTACCCCTTTAGTGAACGATGACGCATCTAATTCTTTTAATAGAAAACTATCGGTTTTATCGAAAAATTACAAAAGGTAAAAAAGTTGCGCAATAAACCAGTCTTTCCAATAAATATTTTTAAATAAATAATTTGCTTCATATAAAAAATTTCTAATAAAATATTGCAATGGGGTAGACTGTTTCATTCCTTTATAAAATACGCCAATGATTATTAGTAGGATGCTCATACCATGTTTCGTGTCTCTAGCATTCCTCATGTTAAAGAAAAAAATTAAAATGTGAATTTCAATACCCTCCTTTAAGAGGGTATATCGCCTCAGGGGTGCAACTTTCATATAAGGTATTTTTACTTCAATCCTCTTATATTTGGCTCTACATTCACTGGTACCATTTTTGCTACTTCATTTAAAAACACCCTGTAGATTTTAGATTAACTTAAACACAAACAGAATCAGTATTTATGACTAATTATTTTAAGCTCAAATTTTAAAATTTCGTACTTTTAATAAAGGAATTTCATTTTTTTTGCAAAGCATACAAAGTACCCAATTAAATACAAAGTATTAAGATACCACCAGGATTATAATTAATTAAATAAAAATATATATGTAGGTATCTTTTCATCAGCCTTAGAAAAATAATGTGAATCATCATTCGTATAGTAATAAAGGTTATACAGTTAACTACTTACTTATAAATTACAGATCACTGCAGAGATAGTAATAAAGAAGTTAATAAATAATAATTTACTAATTATTTGTATTACTATTACTTTTTAAGGCATTTCTAATTAAATCATGTTACACTGCATTATTCATTCATTAAATGCACTTTACAGTAATTTAAATAATTATCTATAAAAAAATCATATTCTAAACTTATTTGTGTTTAAAAATGTAATGTCTTGAATTAAAATTTAGGTTTTTTTTTCGAATTTTTATAGATAAAAGGAGACAAGGTGAGATTTCCTATTGTAGTTACATTTCATGAGCCGAAGAGAACCTTGGCAAACGCGACCATTAAAAAAATTGGTACCTAAGCAGTTACTTTTACTTGAATTAAAGCATTTAGAAGAAATTACCAATAATGTAAAAACATTTTGGTTCAAAATTGCTACTCAATTCACTTCCTTCTTTTTGCAAACACGCTTTCCGCGCACCTCGCATTTCAGTTTTGAACTGAAAATGTTAGATGCATGAAATGCGCTCTCGTATATATACTTAAGTTGTAGTTTACAGCGTTCAGTTCAGTAGATGTGTATTATATGGATAATTGTAAAACAGTGAAGGGGGGTATATAAAGCTCCTAGCTATTTGTAATTGACTATTTCTATGAAGTATTGACAAGTGTGTGTTTAAAGTTATGAAACCGGTATGGCAATATTTTATATTATTAAGTGGTGATGAGCGCTTGTGGATAATCTTGTGTTTGGGTGCTTACCTTAAAGGATATTGTTTTTGGTGTGGCGGTATAAGTATATAATTTAATTACTTTTACTACGATAATCTGACATTTATTCAGTTACTACATTTAAAAGCGTGAGCGTCATAATGTGTTTAGAAAACATTAAAAGTACTTAATTTTGTCAAATTCTACAATTTTAAATATAGACTAATTGCAGATTTGATATTACAGTAATACTTTTTCCAACAACAGTAGGTAATGATTATTTTTTGACAGTTAATTTTGAAATTAACATAACATTATTTTTTATTAATAATGTAGTTTCTGCTTTAGTATTTTTGTTTTAATAGAACTAATTTAATCCTATTCGCACATTTTGCCATGACAAACTTATAATTTTAATAAAATTAATAATAAGCCATTCTTGTATTTTGTGTACATTTCTATGAAACATGATATAATCAGAAATTGCTTAGTGCCTATACTAAAAAGTCAGTAACACCTCTAAAAAATATTTTTTTACGCGACGTTCCGTAAAAAATGTACCATGAAAACGGTTGATTCAACATAGACCTAAACGTCATTTGATAGTAGAATATTATCACATAAATGTACATCGTAATACAAAATTATTCAATTACTTAAAACAGTTGACCGTCGTCAGTCACCAAGGAGACCTGGAAAAATGATGACATTATTGGACAGACAATTTTGTAACAAGTATTTTGAAGCCACAACACCTATTTTTGAATTTTTTTATATCGGAAGAAATGAATTGTAGCTTGCGACGTTTTTCTCTTTTTTATTCTTTTATATTCGTATTAATTAAGTTCTAGTTCATTTGTAGCTAAAAGCAAAATTACGTTCACTATAAAAAAATAGTTGAATATACCTAATAGTACCTACACAGGGTGTCAGCAAATTTCACCGACAACGTTTGACTGCACATTCAGGACGATAAATAAAGACCATCTACGAAAAAAAAGTTAAATAAAAAATTGTTGGTTTTTGAGTTACAAGCCTTCAAAGTTGTCAAAAATAAAAATAATTTANATTTTATTTTTGTTATAAGAATGAAAGGAAAAATATTTGGACAGTTCTATTTTTATCTTCATGTATTATGTAGGTGTCCCACGCGATAGACAACTATATTTTTTAATATCTCGCTAAAAAAAGATATCAAATTTCAAATTACCTACTCAAGAATATAAAAAACATGAAATTTGGACACCTCTTGAGATATTCTGAAAAAAACTTCGATATTATTCGAAATTCTTCAACTTATTGAAAAAAAGTAGTACCCTAAATGATCAAATCTCAATCCCACTGATTTCTTTCTGTAGAATTCAATCAATCTTTAACTGAAAGTATCGGTAACTTAGCTAAAGACTTATCACGACACAATACGATATTGTTGAAGACACGACCTACAAAGCATATAATATGTCGTCATATCTTTAATTAAATGACATTTCTGCTTTATGTAGTACTGACACTTGTACGTACTGACACAAAACAAAAAACTAAACCCGCCTATGTCTGGTGACTCTCGTGATGTAAGCTATTTTCTAGATATTAGGGGTGTAAGTCAATGCCAGTTGAGGTTTATAGCCCGTGGAGTAGTTGTTACTCAAAATATTACTAGTAAATAAAGTTTATTAGTTATGCGATCATAGTAGGTCATTTTGTATTAGTAGATACATGTGGCAACAGACATAAAGTAGAAATATCATTTAAAAATATGACATATGGCATATGCTTTGTAGATTATGTCTCGTGAATAAATTAAGAACTACTTTATTAATTTTATTCATTGCCACGAAAATAATTTTAAGTTCAAAACTGATAAATGTGAGTTTTCAATTGTAACTTATTTTAGAAATAAGAAAGGTACCAATTTCTCACAATCCTTTTATTTTAAGAAAAGAGTTATATTGTAGCCTTGTACAACCTGGAGATGAAGTGTAAAATTTGACTCCGAAATCAGTGGTCTTTTTTAAAAATAAAAATATTGTAAGAAATTGGACCCTTTCTTANGGTGTCCCACACGATAGACAACTATATTTTTTAATATCTCGCTAAAAGAAGATATCAAATTTCAAATTACCTACTCAAGAATATAAAAAACATGAAATTTGGACACCTCTTGAGATATCCTGAAAAAAACTTCGATATTATTCGAAATTCTTCAACTTATTGAAAAAAAGTAGTACCCTAAATGATCAAATCTCAATCCCACTGATTTCTTTATGTAGAATTCAATCAATCTTCAACTGAAAGTATCGGTAACTTAGCTAAAGACTTAGCACGACACAATACGATATTGTTGAAGAGACGACCTACAAAGCATATATGTCGTCATATCTTTAAATGACATTTCTGCTTTATGTAGTACTAACACTTATACGTACTGACACAAAACAAAAACTAAACCCGCCTATGTCTGGTGACTCTCGTGATGTAAGCTATTTTCTAGATATTAGGGGTGTAAGTCTATGCCAGTTGAGGTTTATAGCCCGTGGAGTAGTTGTTACTCAAAATATTACTAGTAAATAAAGTTTATTAGTTATGCGATCATAGTAGGTCATTTTGTATTAGTAGATACATGTGACAACAGACATAAAGTAGAAATATCATTTAAAAATATGACATATGGCATATGCTTTGTAGATTATATCTCGTGAATAAATTAAGAACTACTTTATTAATTTTATTCATTGCCACGAAAATAATTTTAAGTTCAAAACTGATAAATGTGAGTTTTCCATTGTAACTTATTTTAGAAATAAGAAAGGGACCAATTTCTCACAATCCTTTTATTTTAAGAAAATAGTTATATTGTAGCCTTGTACAACCTGGAGATGAAGTGTAAAATTTGACTCCGAAACCAGTGGTCTTTTTTAAAAATAAAAGGATTGTGAGAAATTGGACCCTTTCTTATTTATAAAATAAGTTAAAATAATTTTAAGTTTATTTCAAAATATCGCAAAAGCTGTAACTTCAAATTTAATTTTTTTTTTCATCGTTGAATAGGCAATATTAAGCGTTTTCAAACTCGATAGCTTTTGTTGCTTAAAAAACTGAAGCTGTAGCCTGTCATAGGGACAAAATTATCTGAAGTATGCCTTGATTAAATGTTGTTGTTATTTGAGCTTTTCTTCGTCATATGAAAATATAAAATGGACATAACATTTAAGCATTGAATGTGTCTACTAAAGTACTCTGTTGAAAATTTTCGTGTGACTAACTATAGGGCTTCAAAATTTCATTTTTAAAGAAACATCTTAATTTTTGAATGGAACACATCAAATTTTTAATATTTTTGTAATGTAAATAGACTTTTCATATCCAAATTTTAGATATCCAAATCTACAGCTGCACATTCTCCCTATCATTATCATTAAATTACAATAAAAAGAAACTGATAACAGTTAAATTCAAATGCATATACTTTTAAAAACGTGTTATATATACAGGGTGTTCAACGTACCCTTGTCTCGGACAATAAAAATAAATAAATAATAAAATTGCCACATTCGAATGAATAGTTGTTATTATCAGTAACTCTTTATATATTTATATAAATTTAATACTAGTATTATGACAAATCTGAGGTTACAAGTAGAAATATTCTGAGCTGATATGAATAAAATGTCTAATCCATCACTGAAAATCGCATATGCGATATTCAATTATTTTTTTCTGAAATTTAATTTTTGAAACCCTAAAAGGATTCTGTAACTGTTATAGTACTTTTTTTGACTGTCAAAAATAATGAAATTTGGAACTAAACATTTTCGGTGAAACACCTTTACACTACATAATTATGTACCTACAAGACAATCAAACTTTGTTATGTCATTTTTAATCTATAGATAGGAGATAAGATGTTACTTGCTTTATAAAATCATATTATCTGCAGAATGAAATCAGATTTATCTTAAAATTTTCTTTCCAACCATATAGCAACAATTATTTTTAAAATAACTGTTAAAACATTTTTATTGTATTAAATGTACGTGCGTCATGTGAACCGTGACAATTTTTTATCTCTGCGCTTTGGTGCATTCTAAAAAAATATTTAGGCTTCAACAGTTCTTTTTTATAACAACGTAATTCTCTAAATAATTCTATGCCACACTGTATGTAGATATTCTTGAATTTCGTTGTTTATAACCTGTCACCCAATAAAAATCCAATTAGCCCACAAGTTTACGATCGAGTTTTTTTACTTGCCATAACAAAGAGGTGTAAGTGCACAAATTTTCTAATCCATCATTAACTTAATTGAATAAAACGTTTAATAATGTTCGTGAATATAAGTTTCACCTAATTATAAACTATTTATCAAGTAGACACTTAACCAATACAATGTAAGTTTATTTATGGTCAAAAATACCCAAAATTAAATTATAAATATACGGGAATTTCCATATTCACTCAACTCAAATAATAATAATCGTCTTGTTGTGATTTCTTAATTAAAACCAAGCTATTTCCAAACCACAATGGTGAAATATAATTTTTCTAGAACGTAATCTCTGCTGTTGGATAAACAAACCTCTGATTAACCAAATAATATAGCAAAATACAGCAAATTTATTATTAATTGTTTTCAATAAATTTTCTTAACAAAGTAAAGCCGTACTCTTTAAGTTATTACATATTTTCTAGATAAAGCTTTTAATTGTGTGTGAATATAAGTTCATGCCGTATCTTCAATAGGTTTTTCCTTGAATTATTTCAGAGAAAAACCTTCCAAGACCAAGAGACTAAACTGTGTGTTTCGAGATATTATCATTTAATCAAATATCTTTAAGATATTTAACGTAGGTTGATGAAACTTGAGCTAATAATATAATTAACTAAGACAGAAATGGAGCGAATTAGTTTACAAATCAGTGGCGGAGGTACCAGGAGACACTGTTATAAAAAAATAATTTAATTTCTAACAAGGGAAATATATC